TTCTTCAGTTGTTTTACTTATATGAAATGATTTAATTCATATAACAACACTATATGTTGATATGTTTGCTGGCCATTTAACAGCTGAGCAAACTGTGATGCAGGAAGATTAATTAACTTCCCCAAAGTGATCACACAGCTAGATGTTGTTGGAAGTACCATTCAATTTCAGTCCATTTGGGAAATACTGCTCTTTAACATGGGCATGGAGCCCTGGTGGATCAGTGGTTAACCATTCAACTGCTAACATAAAGGCCAGTGGTTCACACCAACCAGTAATAAAGATGTGACACTGCTTCCTAAACCCTATGGGGCAGTTCTATTCTATCTTATAGGGTCCCTATGAGTTGCAATCTACTCCTTGGCAAGAAGTTTTTTTTTTTTTTTTTTTTAAACCATGGTACCACACTTCTCATTTTAGTGGACAATGTGCAAACATTAGGTTGGAGAGATGAAAAGTAGGGTGAAGCAAGAGGTTACTTGCCTCCTTCAGAATGTAAGGAAGCACTCATTTTCAGGATTCTGAAAGTGCAAAGATGGCCCTGAACGCCTCCTTACATTTTACACCTTAGAAGCTTCCCTGACTAGTCCTTGTCCTGCCCCTGATGAAAGGGAATGGTGGGAAAAATAATTGCCAACCAAGGAACTCAAAACCACTTTATCAAACACCGACTTAACTAGGCAATCTGTTAAATCCTAGGGCTACAGGCTTAAAGAACATACTATCATAATCATAATTATAGAAACATAACTAAAAAGTGAAACGTTTAAAATTGGTAGGAAGCTGATATATTTTACCAATATTAACTCACTTAATTCTCAGAAACGAAGAAAATCTTAAAATCTTTAATTGCTTTGTATTACACAGACAATCATGGAGATAAGAGCCAAACTAAAGACCACTTAAAAAAAGAAAGGTACCGACTTGCAGACACAAAACCTATGTGCAGTTGATTGAATTCTCCACACTTAGTGAGTCTCAATATCCTTATATCTAAGGAAAATTAATTTAAAAACAGTTGTCTGAAGTGTTATTTTTTGAGTAATGACAAAAACAAGAGCGGGTGTACACAGCACAATGGATATAACATAACAGCCAATATCTTTACATATACTGTCCCACATACATAAACACAGGTAACAAATACCCTCCTTGCTACCACTGTTTTTCCAGGGTGACTACATTTATTCTTTGTATCTGAATCAATGTACCCAGGCTAATTTCCCTGGATAAAATCCTCTTATCTTATCCACTTAATATCCTACCAAAAGATACTTGTTATATTCCTGTATGCAAAATGAAATATTCTCTCAATTTTCTTTTAAATTACCTGATATGAATTGTGTAACAGGAACCTATGTGCTTAAAACAATCAAATGTGAGAGAATGAAGCATTGAAATAGGCAGTTGAAAATGTACATTAGAAGACAGTTCATGATATAGTGTTTGAGAAGTTGACTGAGAAAATGCACAGAAAAATACAATAGGATTGTCAAGACGTGTAATTAATTTAAAATGAGATGAGATGGCAAAGCTCAAGGTCACCTCCAGCAGTTGCCATTTGCACCAGTGCTTCTGCAGAGTCAGGTATAGCTTGATTTATTCTGGGCTGTGCTCTGAAACTACACTGAAATGATCTTAAAATAAATTTGAAGGGACTGTTTACTGTGACTTAACAGGAGGGCATGGGACATACGTACGTAGTTTCATTCTTAAAGTTCAAACAATTACGTTGATCATAAAATCGAATCCAGACTCCTCAATACAATTTAGAGAAGAGGCAAAGAGATACAGAAAGGTAAAAGGAAATGAACGTGTAAGTTTATCTTTTCCACAGATGCATCATCAAGAAAAACCACCAGAAGATAATCTAACTGAACTGATGGAGTTTGTTTTCTTGGGCTTTGCTGACATGCCCCATCTCCAGTGGTTTCTTTTTGGATTATTTCTAATCATCTATATCATTATCCTGATGAGCAATGGCACCATATTTCTAATAACAAAAATGGACCCTGCTCTCCAGAGCCCTATGTATTTTTTCCTGGCAAATTTTTCCTTCTTAGAAATCTGCTATGTATCAGCTACTATCCCCAGAATGCTGATGAATCTAGGGACCCAGAGAAGAAGAATTTCCTTAGTTGCCTGTGCCACACAGATGTGCTTTGCTCTTATGTTTGGAGGCACAGAGTGTTTGCCCCTGGCTGTGATGGCCTATGACCGCTACGTGGCCATTTGTAACCCTCTGCACTATCCTCTAGTTATGAACCTCAGGGTCTGTATCCAGTTGGTGACTGGGTCCTGGACTATTAGAATCCCAGTTATGATAGAGCTTACATATCAGATTTTCTCTCTGCCTTTTTGTGGATCTAAACAAATTAACCACTTCTTCTGTGACATTCCCCCAATACTCAAGCTGACTTGTGGGGACACCTTTGTAAATGAGACGTTGGTCTACATAGTCGCTGTGTTATTTGTTGTGGTTCCTTTTCTGTTAATACTTGGCTCCTACAGTAAAATCATCTCCATCATCCTAAAGTTGCCATCAGACACAAGTAGAGCCAAAGCCTTCTCCACCTGCTCATCTCATCTTATGGTTGTGCTGTTATTCTTTGGATCAGCCATTATTACATACTTACGACCCAACACCAGCCACTCGGAGGAAACTGACAAAGTACTTTCTCTTTTCTACACTATCCTAACTCCAATGTTTAATCCCATGATATATAGTCTAAGGAACAAGGATGTCATAATGGCACTGAGAAAATTGCTGTCCAAATAATTCACTTCATTGAAGAATCAATTAAATGTATAAGAATTGATTTCTTCTGTAGTTTTAATCACATTTCAACAGATGAATACATTTAACTATACCTTTTGTTCTGGATTGAATTGTATCCCCAAAAAACATGTGTCAACTTGTGTATGCCATGATTCTCAATATTGTGTGATTGCCCACCATTTTGTCATATGAGTCAGAATTGACTAGAAGTCAAAAAGTTCGTTTTGATGGTATTCCTATGTATTGTAAATCCTAATTCTGTGATGTTAATGAGGCAGGATTAGAGGTAGTTATATTAATAAGGCAGGACTCAGTCCAGAACCTTAGGTTGTATCTTGAGTCAATCACTTTTGAGATATAAAAGAAAGAAGTGAGCAGAGAGAAGGGGGACCTCCTATGACTAAGAATGAAGAACCCTGATGAGAGTGCATTCTCTGTAGCCTGCTCCCTGCACTGAGATGCTCCTAGACCAGGGGAAGATTGGTGACAAGGACCTTCACCCAGAGCCAACAGAGAGAGCAAGATTCCCCTGGAGCCATCACGCTGAATTTGGAATTCTAGCCTCCTAGAGTGTGAAAGAACAAATTTCTCTTTGTTAAGCTATATATTTGTGGTATTTCTGTTATAGGAGCACTCGATAAAAAAGACACCTTGTCTTTCCATACAGTGAAAATTATTTCCAAGTTAAAAATCACTTGCAATATTGTCAGGAGTTTCTGCTCAAATTACTTAACTAATATATGTATTAACAGACAGCAGATCGTTCCATTAATAATTCTCTAATTTCATTTTGCAGTGTTCTCCCTCAATAAGAACTTTTGCTTGGGTTAATTTAATTTAGTCAGTTATAATGTATAATCTGTTATATCACTTAGAGTAAACCATATCATTCATTTCCATGAGTATCCACACATTTGTGACACTTATTTTAGAAACCAGGTTTACAATATGCATTAATTAAAACCATGCAGTGTTCCCTCAGTATCCATGATGTATGGGCTCCAGGACTCCCAAGAATTCCAAAATCTGTGGCTGCTCAAGTCCCTTATATAAAATAGCACAATATTTGCATATAAACCTACGCACAACTTTTCTTATACTTTAAATCATCTCCAGATTACTTATAATACCTGAGACAACGTAAATGCTATGTAAATAATTGTTATCCTTTATTGTTTAAGGAATAGTGACAAGACGCGAGGTGAACAATGCTCAAACAATGAGTGCTGCTGAACAAAAGTAGGCAGTTTGAATCCACCAGCCGCCCCTTGGAAAACCTATAGGGCAGTGCTACTCTACCGTATAGGGTCACTATGAGTCAGACTCGACTCAGTGGCAATGGGTTTGGATTTTTGGTTTTCACCCATGTTCTATTTTAGACCTGGGTTTGAGTTAGGTCTTTATCACTTAAGTTTTTGTTTGACATGGAAAATTATTTAATCCTTCAAAGTCACTTTTTATATTTGACTATATATATGTATAAATACATAAACATATATAGGGTCCCTATGAGTTGGAGTCAAGTGAACGGTCATGGGTATATATATAAATATACATATACACACATACATATATATATATATATATATAAACCAAAAACCAAACCCGTTGCCGTCGAGTTGATTCCAACTCATAGCAACCCTTTAGGACACAGTAGAACTGTGCTATAGGGTTTCCAGGGAGCACCTGGTGGATTTGAACTGCTGACCTTTCGGTTAGCGTCTGAAGTCTTAACCACTCCATCACCAGGGTTTCCATATAACCTTACAGAGATTTTGTGAAAATTAATGCATTGTGAAGAGCACACCTACCTCCAATTTAGTTTATCATATGACATTGTTATATCTGTAATTATGATCACATTTGCGATTAAGGAATTTCCTTAGCATCTTCCCTTATCTACAGCCTTAGGACCAAAGATATCATTGAAACAATTAAGCAGTTAATTAATCATCACCAAATTGCTTTCACACTCAATATAATCCAAATAAGTATTTGGTCATGTATGCCCTATTTCCAAAAAATTTTCATGTGTATTGTTCACTCGTTTTGAGTGTGATTTAAGAGAGTTGTTATTGTTGGTGTTAGCTGTCATGGAAACAGAACCCGACCCATGGTGAATCAATGTGTTACAGAGTAGAACTGTGCTCCATAAGGATTTTTGGTGATGATCTTTACAGAAGTAGATAGGTGGACTTTTTCTGCAGAGCCACTGAGTAGGTTCAATCTGCAACCTTTCCACTATCAGCTGATTGTAAAATGGTTTTGCTATCCAGGTTCCCTCTGAAGTCAATATACCATTGCCTGTTCTATGATTTTGTCTCTTGTATGCTTTCCAATAACCTCTGGGTTAATATAGAAATGATGTATTCTGATTCACTTCCTCTCTGGTGGTGTCAGACAAATAAATTTTAAAAATGTCCCGTTAGACACTGTATCAATCAAGATGGAGAAGTAGAAGTCTATGTTTAGCGACTCAATACTTACTACTTTTTGACTTTAAGATATGGTTAATAATAAAAAAACTCAAAATATATCATAACTGCCTTTACTGTATCCTTACAACAAACTGTTTTGATTCAGGAATTGTATAAAATATCATTTCCTACTTCCCCTTAACAACTTTATTTTAAGTAATGGAAAAGTTAAGGTTTGCATTCTGAAAATATTATCATATTGTTAATGAGGAAAATGTTAAAAATATTAGCTACTATCTAAATGCATCCTCATTTTTTTGAGTATAAATGTAATATAGTTCCAATAAGTATTGAAAATTATTCTGTATATCAAGAAAAACTCCAGTTTACTTCAAGTCATATATCCAAAACTCAGAGATACCAAAATGAAGATTAATACAGTATATGTTTTGATAACCCATATTCACCCATAAACATCTTTCTCCCAATAGTCTTCTTCGTATCAATAAATGACTTTCAGATTTACTCAGTTGCATAAACAAAGATATAAAAGTTATTTGTTATTCTATCACCTGCAACAAGTATCCGTAAATCTCTCCAAAATACAGCCACTTTTACATGTGCTCTCTCTTTGAGCAATCAGTGTCATTAAGTTGGTCTTTAGTAGTTTTCACCAAAGGAATCTACTTGTCTCACTTCTTAACTTCCTACAAGCCATTAATCATAGATTATCTGTAGGGATTTTTAAAAAGTAGAGAAATAGTTCCTTTCACGTCTATATTTAAAATTATCCATTGCCAAACTCTCTGCCTTCATCTTTTTTGAAATAAAATATATTGCAGGAGTGGGCTGACCAAGATGGCAAAGTAAGTGTATGCTCTCTTTTCGTCCCCTAGCAACTAACACACTGAATAATGAGTAAAAACAAGCACACACTGAGATCTGAGAACTCTAGATGGCAGTTGAAGTGTTGGAGAGTCTGGGTGAGTCCAGAAGCAGGAGAGAGGAGGAGTGGAGATGGCACAGAAAGTGGGAGAACCTACTTGCTAACATTGTGGGCACATTTTCATTGCAACCATGTTGGGACAGGATTGGGGAACACCCCAAAAGAGGGAACACAGAAAGAGAACTAAACTTAGGAAGCTGTGGCCCAGTTTTTATAAGGCGATACAATTTGGCCATGGGAGTTCATTGCCCTTACAATTAGACAGGTGTGAAGGGAAACTGTGGCACAGAAAGAAAGTGCCCTTGAATCTCATTGAGGCCCAAGGTAGATGGGCACTAGGACCTGGAGGATCTGTAGTAGCAGCAGAGCAAGGGGAATAGTTCAGATTAACAGATGACATAGAGGGAAATGGAAGTCTCCCTGACCAGAGTGGGGGCACTGTGGGAGAATCTGTGCAGAGTTGCCCATGAGGGCAAGATATAGAGAGCCCCCAGCTTTGCCTCAGGAAAATCGAGTCTCACAGCTTATGTCAGCATCATTGACTAGCAAAACACCCCCTGTCCTGCTCATGGGTAATGATTTCCAAAGATTAATCCTCCAGAACTCCTGATTAAACACTGAAAAAAACCTAAAGATAGCAGTGCCCTCTAGTGCTTCTCAGGAGAAGACAACAAATGCACTGTTGCTGGGTAGATTATGACACATAGAGACCCCATGCAGCTAAATGTGCCACCCCAAGGGGTACCCAGGTCTGTCAGTCTTTGTGGAGGTGGGATGCCAATATTTTTCCCCATGAAGTGGCCAGTCAGTGGAGGTGCTGGCCTTCTGGTTGTCAGCCGGGAGGTTGGCCACAGTGCAAACAGGGTTCCAAATCAGAAGATTTTGCCAAAAACACCAGAATACCAAATTCATAGTTTAAAATAGTAATAATAACAAAATGCCCAAGTTCAACAAAAATTAGTAAAACAAGCAAAATCACAAGGTAAGAATAACCAATGCATAGCAAAACCTGAAGAGGAGATTTCTCCTATGAAAGTCAGAATAACGCAAAGAATTGATAATTTTCAGACTATGGTGCTAAATATGTTCCAAAAAAGATAAGGCACACAGAATACAAGTTAGCAGAGATCAGAAAATAAATGGAGGAATAAAATAAGATTCAACAATGAAACTGAAAACATAACAGAAAGAACTATTTGAACTGAAGAATAAAGCAACGGATTTAAAAAATGCAAAAGTAACACTCAGCAATAGAATCAAACAGACAGAAGACAGAAAAAATAAACTAGACGACAAAATAATTGACCTTATCAAGTCTCAAGAGAAACAAAAGAAAAGAACAAAGAAAACAAACATAAGGACACGAACAGACTGAAAATAAAAGGATGGAAAAAAATATTCCATGCAACCAATAAACAAAGAAGTTCAGGGTTAGCCATACTGATATCAGATAAAATAGATTTAAAATTAAAATCTATTACAAGAATAAAGAAGTGCATTGAATTATAATAAAACTGTCAATTCAGCAAGAAGACCTAACAATTGTAAACATATACGTACCTAACAGCAATGCACCCAAGTACATGAAACAAATACTGACTAACAGGAAAGTAGAAATAGACAACTCCACAATTACT